AAAGCTACAGAGATCATCTTACAACGTATAATCATTGACTATTGGATACACAATACAGTAAGGGTAAAACCATAGATATATAATAACAACACAAAATTTACAATAATAGTGTTGTTATTATACAGTATATCTATGGGTAAAGTACACATAAATACAGTGTGTAAATTAAGTATTGAAACAAATCTGTATTTTTTAAACTGAAATAGATAGAAATATTCTGTTTGTGGCGTTTATTGTTAACAAATGTTCCGTATTTTTTTACACCAACAATATTTTTAACCCCCCTAACTGGGTAGGGGGTAGGGGGTGACTTATTTGTTTCAAATAGCAACCCCTCATTTTGATGGATGTGTCAAAAGAAACACAATGACGCAAACCCGAGGTTGATATCTCACCCCTAGCCAAAATGGCAGGTATTCAAAAATTTGATTTATTGTATGTGAAAAAACACCAATTTCACAAATAATATGGATACAAATCTGTATTTTTAAACCCGAAATAGATAGAAATATTCTGTTTGTGGAATTGATTGTTAACATAAGTTCCGCAATTTTTTACATCAACAATATTTGTTAACCCCTTTAACAGGGTAGGGGATGGGGGTGATTTATTTTTTAATAACAACCCCTATTGAGTGACCTATCATTTTAAAGGGTTTGTCAAAAGAAATACGATGACGCAAACCCAAGGTAGATATTTTATCCCTAGCCTAAATGGCGGGCATTCCAAAATTTAATTTATGTGAAAAAGCACCCATTTTGGAATACCTGCCATTTTGGGTAGGGGTGAGATATTCACCTAAGGTTTGCGTCAATGTGTTTATTTTGACAAGCCCTTCAAAATGAGGGGTCACTCAATAGGGGTTGTTATTTGAATAAAATAAGTCACCGCCTACCCTGTTAGGGGGGTTAAACAATTTTTTTGGTGTAAAAAATTGCGGAATCTTTGTTATGAATCGATGCTACAAACAGAATATTTCTATCTATTTCGGTTTAAAAAACAGATTTGTTTCAAGACTTAATTTACACACTTTTTATCATTCTAGCATAGATAAAAGATAGTCTATGATTCTAGCATACCTACTATATAATAGCTCATTTACAGCTGACTCAATCCTAAGTGGGGTTCAGTGTTATTTAAAGCCAATATTCTATATTTATATTATATTACATAAGATCATAAATTTTGTTATATCTGCTCATGTCACAGCTTACGTCACAGCTTGCACACTTCTCATCAAAATACAACAAAAATATACTGGAAGGAGATCACTTTACAGAGTATTCTATGTCCTTTCATTTCAAGACTGCTAAAGATAAGTAGGGGGTTCACAAAAGGGGTTTTAGTGGAAGTTCAAAACAAAAGCGGTTGAGTAGCTCAATTCCGCTCTCAGCCTCTGAAATATCCTCCTCGATACAGGCCTCAGATGGATCTGAAATACCTGGATAAAGCTACATACAGGGTGATTGATATAAGTGTGCCAGCTGTTTTATTCAAAAGTTATAGGAGATATAAAAATTCTTTAATTGTAACTGCCTTGGATTTTATATTAGAAAAACTTTGGTCAAGTTGAAAAAATAATTTTAGTCGCCATTTTTCCAATATGGCCACCAACTTTGTTTTGTCTTACGGAAGACTCTATGTTTCATGATTAATGACCACACAAAAAAATCTTACTAACAATTACACAAATTAAACTTAGACCATTAGAACACACGTCCCCCCCCCTGATTCACTAGTAACACATCTAAATCAAATCAATTTACAGCCTAATTTCAAATGTATCAGTAACAGTTGTTTAGTATGTTTTTCCCTTGCGAATTATATAGTAATGCAAATGAAAGTATGATTTCTTAATATACAACATTTTAACTGATCATTATGTCTTCACTGAATATACGGATAAAATAATTACGAAGACATTTTAATTAAGGCTGCTGAGTTATGGAGGGGAATTAAACTAAGAGGCTTTCTAATATTAAAAGAATTTGATGAAAGGGGGTTTAAACCCCTACAGTGAATAGATTCAGTGTTATTCAAGCTTTATTCAAGAGATAATCAACCAAGGATTAATCGTTAATCTAAACCTCTTGTGCCGTCTTGAATGCTGCGATTAGTATCATTATCTTCCATAATTACATAAATAATTACAGTAATTAGTTTACTCTTATATTGTAAAATATGTAATAAACATCATGAGCCAATTTTTTGCCCATTGCATGAAAAATACCTGTAACTGAATGATTTAAGGATTAATTAGGAATTACTTACTTAGGATTATTAGTAGAGGAACTATACAGTATACAAAATCTAAACTAAAATATATTATTTCGACTATACATTTATTTGTATACAGGGTGTTTTTTTTAAAACTTGCATCTTTATTTATGTAAAAACCGCAATAGATAGAAATATGTAGTTTGCGGGAATCATCTATTGACGTAGGGGGACCAATTGTTTTGAATTCAACGTTACATTCACATTCCCCCCCTTTCCCCCCCTGCCACCAACTTATTTTTTTTTAACAGCAAGGTACCCCTTGTGACATATCAAATAAAAGAGCATAAAAAAAGAAAATGTTTGATGAAAAAAAATTGAAAATCGGTTCATAAATTTGTGAGATATTCCCCCCCTCACCCCTCCGGAACTTAATTTTTTTTAAATAGCAAAGTACCCCTTGTGACATATCAAATGAAAGAGCATGAAAAAAGAAAATTTTTTGTGAAAAAAAATTTAAAATCGGCTCATGAATTTGTGAGATAATCACCCCCCTTTTCCCCTACCCATAACTTGTTTTTTAATAGCAAGGTACCCGCCCTTGTGACATATCAAATGAAAAATAAATTTCGCCAAAATTTTTTTTTTCATGCTCTTTCATTTGATATGTCACAAGGGGTACTTTGCTATTAAAAAAAAATTAAGTTCCGGGGGGGTGAGGGGGGAAATATCTCACAAATTTATGAACCGATTTTCAATTTTTTTTCATCAAAAATTGTCTTTTTTCATGCTCTTTTATTTGATATGTCACAAGGGGTACCTTGCTTTTTAAAAAATTAAGTTGGGGGCAGGGGGGGAAAGGGGGGGAATGTGAATGTAACGTTGAATTCAAAACAATTGGTCCCCCTACGTCAATAGATGATTCCCGCAAACTGCATATTTCTATCTATTGCGGTTTTTACATAAATAAAGATGCAAGTTTTTAAAAAAACACCCTGTATATGTACATTATATAGCCCAGTCAACCTGAGTCGTAAAACACCGGTTGAAGAAAAAAATAGTAAACAGCTGATTTTTTGCTCATCGACTATTACCGTTTAGACAAGTGTTCAGCCAAAAAAAGTCCCCGCCCCTACCCCCTTGCTAACCCCCCCCCCTCCCCAGGGCCACCCTAACCATTTAAAGTGTAAGGGTTTCGTAAAACACGTTTTTCTCGATTGTTATAAAACATATTGAATTGCAATTTGTTTTATTATCTTTGTTATAACATGTCCTAAAATCATGTTTTAGTGCCTTTTGTCATAACTGTTACCGTTTGTTCGTTGTTTGTATACAAGGGGGAGGAGTGGGGACTTTTGCCTGAACACTTGTCTAAATGGTTGTAGTCGACAGGCAAACAATCAGCTTTTTACGATTTTTTCATTCATAAAACACAGGTTGACTGGACTATATGATCGTAAAATAGTTATATTATTTTAAATATAATCAATAAAGCCAAACATTGTGGGTTTCTCTTATCCTCGGACTTCTTTAAACTCCAAGGCACCAAGGCTGTGATTGAGACACATTTATATGAAATGCAGGAATCTTCTGAAAACCCGATCTTCGTGCGGGTACTTACGTATTATACCACCAAACCGATAAATCGACTTCCAAATAAGATTTCAATTAGTTTAAATAACAAAATCTTCCTAACCTATACAACCTAATCTAACCACCCTTAGATTAGGTTAGGTTAAAATTATTAGGTGTGGTCGGTATAATACGTAAGTACATTTGTGCGCATTGAAAGTTTGGGGATTACATTACCAAATACCAAACGCATTTCTATAACAATGATGGAACTTAAAACAAGGACCACTTCTTGGTGCCAAAACGTCAAATATACAATACTGCGACACCAATTTCCCAGCTGGCTTGTTCCCAAATATCAGCTGAGCGGACAAATCAGTATTGCCAACGGTTTAATCATAAGAAACGGAAATTCCCATGAATCAATGTCCCCTTATCCTTCTTCATTAAATCAAGATGATATTATCATGGGATTATAAATTATGACTGTATATACTTATTTTATTGAAGGTGTGAATACAGGTGTGTTTTAGTAAGTGGCGACTCGTTGACATATTACCAATTATAGTCAAAGATATTACTATATTTTTTACTTTACTTTCTCAAAATACATAAACGTCAAATACAAATTTGTGTTTACGTTTTGTAAATAAAATCTTTAATGTGTTTATTGTTATGTATTGTATGTTTGTTAAAAATAGTCGCAAGACAAGTGTAATCATTGATATTTTAGAAATAAAACAATAGCGGAAGCTTTTGTTCATTGGAGTTTCATTGATTTTAATGGCTGTTCAGTATTAATAAGTGGTACTTAGAAGTACATTAAGCCAAAGTCCATTTGTAATTTTATACATTTTCCAGCAGATTATAGTATTTATTGTATATTTATTGTGTATTTATTGTATTTATTGTATTATTGTATAGTATTTATTGATCAAATTTATCCAATTATTAGTTAGTTGGATTACTTGGCAATAATAACTACTATAAATTATGGCTGATAATATATTATCTATGATTTCTGGTGTATAAATTAAAGTAAAAGTAAATTATCTGGATTGCTAAAGTACAATTTACTATTAATGATGTGTATGGGATGGCTGATGATGTATTTGTTCCATTTATTTTTATAATTTACGGTTACTGAGAGGTATGATTTATGATTGTTGACATATGATTGTAATTTCTAATCTGTGATTGCTGATTTCCAGGCTCCATGAGCTCTCCAGCAAGGTCTGCACTGTACATCGCTAAGTACAACAGATTCGTGGACAACATTCTGGACCGCATCAACAAGGTAAGATAAATTTACAATTGGAAAATTCCTTCTTAGCTCTCAACCATTGTTAAATGCTTCAAACACCCGATAGTTTTAAAGATTTTTTTTCTTTCTCCAATAACTGAAATATCTTAAAACTTGTATTTCGCTTATGCAGAATTAAGTGTTTTGTTTCTAATAGAAAATTTGATTTGAGAGATCGACAAGTCTTTTTGTTGGTTTTACAAAAAAGCTATAACACCTTTAACATGTTACCTACCAACCTCCTCTGTGTGACACCTCTTGAGTAACCTGGTAGTGAACGTGTTAAGCTTTTGTCAATGATTTTCTTAGATTTTTCTAGATGTGTGTAAAAATATATAGTTACAGGGTTTTTACTACGCTAAATCTAAACAATAAATCAATAATCCCTGTTTCAGTTTCCTAAAAAAAATCAGGTTATGTGTTCTCAAGTTATCTTAATTTATTTTACCTAACCCGCCATGTTAAACTTCCCTATCCCAAGCGTGATGTATATAACTTCGTTACTTCTCGAGTGATGTAAAGTTGAAAAAAACTCACTCGGTGATGTAATGAAACCCATTTAAATACAGTAACATTGAGAGATTAACTTAAAAAATATACCTCTATGGAGCCAACGACGTTCAACGCTAGAAATCAGCTGTGCGCTTGAATTTTATTGTTATATTTTGAAGAATTTTCATAACCTAGCTTTTGTTTGTAAATGAACGTTACTTTTAGAAGATGAGTGCAATGTATAATGAAAAATATTGTTCGTAGCCTCCTGTATATTGTCGGGTCAGGTAAAATCTTGTACGTTACACGTTACGCAAGAGCGTGTTTACATCACTTCGGTAAATTATGCAACTCGCTTCCGCTCGTTGCACAAAATTCACCTGCGTGATGTAAAAACGCTCTTACTACACTTGTAAGGTAAATAGCTATTACATATGTATATCTTTAGTGTTTTGTAAATTGTAAGGCCTTCAGTATAATTGTCAAAATATCAATAAAAGTTAGCTGGTGTATTTTTACTATATATTTGTTCTTTAAACGTTTAAAGTTTATTTTTTAACGTAAATTTGTGTTGACAGATTTTACGTCGAAGCTACGACCCGGTCAACGTCAAGCTACAGAATGCTTCTGACGTGAAGAAGACGAAGAACAACACCAAGACCAAGAGCAAAGGCAAGGGGAAGAAGAGACCCAGTGCTACCAACAAACAGGCTGATATGGACCTCACTGCCAAGACGGAGAAAGAGTTGGTACCCTTGTTGACAATATACCATTGAGTCAATATACACACTAAATTCGATTTAAACAGTCCCAAATACCCCTACTATTTTTTGTGAAAATGTTAAGTTTCTGCATTTAAGTGTGGCTGGTCCCATTGTCATTGAACGTAAGGAAGCAACACTAAACGGGTTTATCTTTATTTCTGTTACGTGTAAAATAGGCCTTTCTTTGTTTTTTGATATATTTTAAATGTTCAGTAAAGCAGTAATCACAACAATGTATTTTAAATAAGCTTTTAGTAGTTCTATTCATCTAATAACTAAAATAATTTATCTAAACAAACATAATCTTGAAAATGCAAATTGGTATTGCACTGGATTATTTTGCCTGGGAAACGACTTTTGAGCCCAATTGAACTGCGCATTTTGTGCACGGCCCCCCTCGTTGAGTTTTATTTGTTGGATTGGCAATGTCAAATCGGTTTCTACAATTTCTAGCGCCTGCAAACATACTACACTATCAGCATAGCAAAACTGTAGTGCTGGAAGTGTCGTGGTTTCTGTAGGGGTTACTCAAATTGTCGCTGCACTTTTTAATGATGGATTAGGTCTATACATATTCTAGTGTCTACTATATATTTCATTGAAATTAGTCCACTGTGGGTTGTTTAATTTCATACAGGCCGTGGTATAAATACTATCAACACTTCTCAAAATCTATGCAAAAAATTATTCATTATAAACTGTACACAGTGTGAATAATTCGTTATTACCTACTGTAAAAAACAAAAGAACCAACTTGCTTCTAAAACTATCAACTATAGGGCACTATAACTGTTTATAGTTGATTATTACTATCAAACTGAACTATTTTAGACAATAACGTAACTCTTTTAAAATTATTTTGTTAAAACATACTTTAACCGCATGTGTCTTTGAAAATAATGCTAGGTGTAACTTCTATACATGTGTAATAAAATTATATATATATATATATATATATATATATGTAAAATATCGATTCAAACCTTAGTAGTTTAAATACTGTAGGCCTACCTGTAATCAGGGCTGGCTAGAGGGTGTGGCAGGGGGGGGCAGAGCCACACGGTCCAGGGCTCCGAACGGGGCCCTGACCGGTCAAATATAACATTTTTTTCAAGACTGGAAAAACAGGCGGCCCGGGATCGCTCAGCCCAGGGGTCGTGACGGCTCTTGCTAGTACTGCCTCTAATTTTGAAGTACTACTAGCTGTTAGTGTCAAATAACAAGTGTATCTAGAACTTATCCTTATTTTTTGATTGATTACTTATTATTATTAATTTTTATTTGCTCAAACCTTCACACAGTTTTACCTTATACTTTTACTAAATATCAATTTGTTTCTCAGGGAAGAGGCAAACACAACCGAAGAACTGATGACAACCGAGAGGGACTTGTCTAACGATATTCACCAGCAAACCACCAACGTCGATAATGACTCAGAGACAAGCACTAACAGCAGCAGGGGAGAAGCACAGAGCAGAGCGACATCCAAGAAAACATCCAACAAGAATAAGGTAGATTTAATATGATTTTAATGTTTTTTGGTCTTGGGGTGGATCTTTAAACTTTTAAAACCATCCTTAAAACACCCTGAAAAGAGAATTAAGTCTTTTTAGATTCATGGCCATTTTTTACCTTGCAGTTGCACTCTCACATAAACCTCTGGGCGCAGAACATAAAATCCAGCAAAGCAAAGTAACTAATTTACCGACTCGCCAGTAAATGCATAATTGTACCATTTAGCAAAGGGCTAGACAGTCGTTTGTACTTGAGAACTGTTGTTACTTACTGATACTGATGATAGCCTACCTGGGGGAAGATTACACTGCGACCTGAAAGATCTACTGTGTCCCCAAAGGCCAAACTAGTCTCCAATCTTTGCCTAGAGAACCCTCTCCAATCCTAACTCCTTAATGAAGTTCAGCGTCAGGAGGGGTTCTATCTGAGGAAAATCTCCAACTGCTACTTGGTGTATTCCCAGGCTCCTTAACTTCAGTCAGCCTGAAAAATACTGGAGTGCCCCAACGACTCATTGTATTTGGTTCTTGGTCCAAATACCCCTACTCCGGTTCCCTAATTCGTCTTTGAGCCATCGGTATACCACCTGAAGATATGATTCCCGAATAATTTTAGGGTTTTTCCATTCCAGCCAAGTTTATTCCCTAGCTCAACATCAAAGTTCTTTTCAAAGCTGTACTTCCTTACCATATAATCCCTTGGAAGATTCGTCAGATCCCTCAGAACTGGGGGGAATAACTCACCGCATATGCCGTTGTTACCTACTTAGCAAAGAAGCTCTATAAAGGAATTTTCATCAGAATCTATTAATTAATAATTTGAGCAATATAATACTTTGTTTCAGAACCAAACCAAGCAGAGCACCAAGCCCAAGAGCCGACCCCGAGCCAAGGCTACACTCTACGGCCTGTCTACCATCAAGCGAGACGGCAACGTCACTGTCAACATGATGAGTTCTCACACAACCATCAAGACTAGGTTCCTGGTGGGACCTCTCATGCTCAAGGTGGAAAAACAGGTAATAGCCTGAAATTGTTTTATACCTAGCGACTGAATTTACTTATTTAACCTTTTTAAATAAAACAAAAAAAACCATGTGGGAACGATTTTCTGATACAGTCTACTCTTGGTAATCCAAACACTTGATGAATCGGAACTTTTGATCACTCAAAATAAAAGCTCAGTCCATAGAGAATCTCAATATTTCAAAGTTTTACCACGCATTTTGATACACTCGATATTTTGAAGTGCAGGCCGATTTGGAACACGCAGTAATTCGAAGTTACGTTGGCAAAACACTCAATTCGAAGGGAGGGATATTTTCTTATAATGAGAGGAAACTATATGTCTAGATCGTGTTAAAACAGTAGTTTTGGTGATCAGAGCAGTAATTGTCTTGTTGGCAGTGTTTCCTTACACAATAAGTTTTTTAGTTCGCTGTGTTCTTGTTGTCGAAGCTATTTGTTGGGTAGAAGCGTGGCGGAAACATAATTTCTAGTATTGTCATGGAAACTAAGCTTAAGTTACAAATCCCTTTTGTATGATAAATATTTAAATATGATAAAATACCATGTCGTTAAAAAATAAAATCCCTTTCGATTATGGAAAAAAGTGATCACAGCAGTAGAAAAGTGGTAGAGTTAAGTCAGCTGTTGCAAAAGCTTTTTCATTATACTATTATGAGTTGAGCTGTTTTCGTTATGTGTTTACAACCTGCGAAACATCATATTTTCGTCAGCTGTCTATTGTTTACTACCGAAAGTAACATTGTTTACAACTGAAAATTTTCCACTGTCAACAACTTCAAATAGTTGTTATTGTTTTATCAACTGTTTCAATTTTCAACAACTAAAGTAAAATATTAACTTTGAATTGAAGGCATAACCTAAAAAGTCCTATGAGTTTTGTAATGTAGAAAATAATTATTCTTTGTAGTGTAGCGAAAAGTAACGTTCAAAACACAAGTGAAAGTGGGTCTATACATATTCTCGACCATTTAAAGTGCTCGATAAATCTCACACTTCAAACATGGTCTCAAATATGTAATGACTTACTTTCTACTCTTGTTATGAAATATACTATTCCTTTCAATTATATTGTCTACAACCATGAAAAGACAAGGAAAAAATTGTTAAAAATTGTTAGACTGAATGCCTATACGGGAAGAAAATGAACCACAAAATGTGAACATCCTAGACTAGAAGACTAGTTATGTGACTTAGCTAACGTAGAAGGTCAAATGTGTTTGTAAGAGGATGTTTCAAAAAACCATGTCATATGCAAAAGAGCTTGACATTCCCATTACATTTTAGTTATGTACCTTTAATAATACAGTAAAAAATGAACTCTTAATGATTCAAATGATTGATTTTTATCCCGATAAATAAAAAATACCTCTTGGTAATTCCAAACTCTTGATGATTCAAATTTGACTGGTCCACCAATTTTGAACTATCAAGTCACTATCAAGACTTTGCTGATTATGCAAACTGTCTTACTGATTTTTGTTGTGCTATATAATACAAGTTTATCGGGCAAGGGGAGGCAAAATGATGGACAGTAAAAATTGATAATAGGGAGTTATCTCAAATTCTATAAATCAAGTACTGTTTTAGATATTTATCACTTTAGCTGACGATTACCTCACTTATTTCAGTTTGGCCGAGGAGCCAAGAAGGAGCTGCGCAGTGCGACGGCAACAACGGCAGAGATGAGCGGCAAAATGACACTAAAGGTTGTGCAGGGAGGAGCAGCAACCCTGTCCAGCATCAGGGTGCTACAGCCTAAACAGGTGGGTGGAATCCACTATATTTTCGTTGAGACATAGACTCAATGCTGCATTTGAACCTGAAGATGAGTGCAGGAAAATTAGACAGGATAGGAACTCTTAATCTCTAGGGAGAACACTTATTCCGCTCGGCCATTAGCTTGCTCTCACTGCAACAGGATAGCCTGACACCAGTTATCTCGCAGCAACCCTATTATTCATCCTGATATGGAAAATAACTTATATCTCTAGCCCCTAGATCGCACCACATGTCACTTACAGCATTCTGCGGTGTTTGTTAATTCATGCTGGCATAGAGTAAAGGTTTTTTTACTAATTCTTTGCCTTACAAACCTTTAGGGTTCTATTCTAGAGTAGAATAGATTTTGTTCTTGACCGTACCCTTGTAGGGAATGTGATGTAAGAACCAAATGAGAGGAATTGGCAAAATCTATACTTCATCCTTTTTCAACCGTGCAGTATGGAAGTATGGAGTATCCATTAGTCAAACATTTCAAATGGGTGTTTCTAGGACACTAACCGTAAAAACATTAGTTACTATCACAAAACACCCTATGTTTGTGATATTTTCTAATAATTTTTATAACTACGCTCATTTTGGCTATATCAGAGTCAAAATATAAATTATTACGTTAAAATTCAAATCTATAGAATGCTAAGTTACAAGTTTTCTTTTCCGCCTTCACTAGCGTTGTAAGGACAGCTAGCCGAACTTTCATGACAGTGAACACAGTGTTTCCAGTACTGTTAATTGTTGACCATGTCCCGTAAAGCCGGGTTTTCCTAGGCGATGGAACGGAGTGCAGAGTTTGCACGGAGACAAGAGGCGTCTTGTCTTAGGTAATTTAATGGTACTGTTTTCCTAGAAGTGGCACTGAAATCACTTCTCCGCTCTTCGCACTCCTCTTCCGCGCCTAGGGAAACCCTGCTTTAGGCATCGTATACTACACAGTAGGAGTAGATGAATTTGGAATTGAGTGCAGTTCTAATAATCCTTTCTTAACATTTCCGTTACCCATTTCATGGCTCATATTTGTTCTATCTATGAGTGGAGTAAAATGTAAAAGAAGTCTTGAACCTTTTGTATTTTCTTATTTCTTGACTTGTAAAACTGTGCTCTGTTTGCAGGTCCGTGTGGACAGCATGGACGACCATGATCGTACAAGAGAGTTTGTCTGGAAGAGGAGCAGCAGCATCGCACACCTGGTGTCTCAGAAGCTGCTGACAGCCACAAGGTCAATGCTGAGACCACCTCCCAAGCAGTAGTGCCAACTTGGATGGCTCCAAAACAAAATTTACCTGCTTCAACAAAGCAGTTCATGTTGCAAAGACTACTAGGAGTAAACTTAAGAATCTCAATGCTAGTAACTAACTAATTAGGGTATACTAAAATTTGTACAAACTGTTTGTGTTTCAATTCCAAATAAATGATGTTTGTTAGCACTAAATTTAAATTTTTAGAAAGAGGAAATTTGGGATTGACAAACAAAAATGTCATTGTGTTCTGTTTGGAGGAAGATACATTTTTAGAGTATTTTACAATGGAAGTATTCGTAAGACAATTTAGATTTTTACAGTAAACATGCTTTACCTGAAAGTATTTTTGTTTGTTAAACTGATCATACATCAGGTATTTATTTACGTTTGAGTAGGAAGTGTATGAATTGTAAACATTTTTGTAAATATTATTTATTTTATCTATTACAATTTATACAGTTTTCTTACAACAGAGTATTTATGACTAACTAGCTTATGAAGTTGATCACATTATGCTATAAAAATATCTAGTTTTAAATAATGAGTACATTATGTGAAGACTTGATGTAGGCTACCTACTTTATTTCAAGACCAAACTTAAAAAATTTCAGCATTTCATATTTGTATTTAATAATATATTTCTACAGACCAAACTTGTTAGTGATCAACCTCTATTACAATATTTATTTCAAATCATCACTTGTTCAATAACACTAGACTGTAGCAAAATAAGTTTTAATAGTATTTATTTATTTATGAAAACATTTATTTATTGTTATTTATTGTAGTAAATAGCTTAGTAACAAGCTTGTTGATTTTGTGTGTGTTATAATAAAAAATAAATATACCGGTACTGTACTATAAACCATATTTTTTTAGTAATTTACCTTGCAGCTATCAAAACCATCAGACACAAAACCTTTGATACATTTTAACATTTCTATCTCTATCACTTGAAAGAAGCACTCACTAATACAAAGAAGATATCAGTAGTGTTGCAGAGCCTGAAAATCCTTGAAAATTAAAAGAAAAGGTTTTATCAACAGTTTATCTACCCTACCATGGGTACCTGATCTGCATTTTGAAGCTTCAGTACACATAATATTTACTTACTAGTGTACATGTTGCTCGAATTCGAGCAATTGCAAAGTATTACAGGAGTTATTTAAAAACGAATAACAGTCACATTTACAATGAAGTTTAAAAGAGTCAACTCAAAGATTACCGGTGTGTAACTCAGACCATGACCATGTTTACCTTCGTTATTGATAAACCTAAAGCATTCCGGCCGGTTTTTTCCTTCTCAAAATGCCTCGCTGTACAGGCAACACAGGTCATTGATAGAGGGCCAATTGAGAACGAAAAGTCGTTTTGGGGGCACATTTGTAACCTAATAATTGAGATTGTCCAGGGTCAGGTGCTGACTGTGATGAGTTAAGCCTATACGCGCCACTGTTCTGTAACTGCGGTCGTTATCACGATTACGCTTCCTGACTATGTTTCGTTGTCATCGCGTTGGAGTCATTTAAAAGAAAAAAAAACAACAAATAAACAAATTATAGCTATACAAAACAACGATAAATGCACAAATTTAAGTTACAATCATGCTAACACAATCCGTCATAGTGACACAAAACAACGATAAATACACAAATTTAAGATACAACCATACTAACACGATCCGTCTTGGGGGTTATGTTTACACAAACTCAAATAGTAAATAAATGTACTCAATGAGTTTCATTGAATTGAAAAATAAATAACAGCAATTCAACTATACAGCTGATCAAAATGTAAACAATTATGTTCTTCATAAGGATAACATGGGAACTTTCAAAGCCACTGGGGCAGAGCCCAAGGGACATTTTCAAAAATATAAGGCCAGTTTGCAAATCTACGCGACATGCTCTTTCCAATGAGACGTCAATGAATAAAATCGGTAAAGAAATGGCGGATGAGTTCAACCGACAAAGTTTCATGTAGCGTATTTAATTATATAGATTTATTTTTATAATATCTATCTACGAAAGTGGCTTTTACAGTATTACTATTTATTTGTAAGAGAACGGTCAACAACAAGGGGGCTTAATTTTGTTGTTTGCTTCCAATCCAAGTGCACTTTGCACATCCACTGGGAATGTGAATGTTGGTCCTACACTATTGCATACCTACAAAAACTAAACACAAGTCACTTTTCTATTCCAGTTTACAATTAATTAATTGTTTCAGTCATTTGGTGCAATCTAAAAAAAGATCAAATACCCCCGCCGCAGCAAACCTAAGCGAATTTCCATTTGGCTGAATTGATTTTCAATTGATCTATTTAAATAACATTAGGTTTAATGAGTACCTAGGTTTGCTGCTACAAGGAAACTAATAAAGTGTGTGTTTTAAGTAAAATAATTATTGCTTAGTACAAAACGAATATATTTGCCAAGTTTGATCAAAAGAGATCCATAAACAAGCAAACTACAACATTTTACAATATTCTCCATAAGAATAACATGGGAATTTTAAATTTACCATTTTTTTAGTTTTCTCCATAACCAATAACCGTACTAAAACACTTTGATATACTGAATTGTTTGTTTTTTTAAGCTCTTTAAGAAGGTTTAGAGAAAAATTGGGAAATTTTGGGTTTGAGGGTCAAAAGTGAGAAAAACCAATTTTTACCCCATAAAACCCTGTTCCCATGGTCCGATCATGCTGGATCGCGAACTCATTCAAGTTTATCCCGCCTTACACCTTCAAACCAAATTTCATCAAAATCGGATAAAAATTACTCAAGTTATCGTGTTTACGGACACATATATATATATATATATATATATACATATATAAAAATTTGAACGAGTGGTGTTTTTAGCCTCTGGGGACATCAAAATGAAAAAGTAAATCGGTCCCGGGCCTAAGTCTTACCATGAGACCTACGGTAATAGCTACTTCCCTATAGGGAAATTCGCTAAAATCAAATCCTTCATGATTGGCAAGAGTTGGGGAAAAGGGGAAAAGGGCTCCGCCCCAGTGGCTCTGGAGTTTCCCATGTTAACCTTATGAGAAATGGAATTAATGAATCTTAACAGCTGTTTCAATTAAACAAGTTGGTTCTGTTCTATGATGTTCAATAGCATTTAAGTTACAAGGATTACCAACAGGGTGCAGCACTATTATTTCTTTTACATTCATGACAACAGCTAATTTGCAACCAAAAGGTGAGTGAGCGTAGCGAACGAACTTCAACCTGGAGGCGAGTTAGCGTAGCGAACGAGCTAACCTGAAGGCAAGTGAGTGCAGCGAACGAGCTCCAACCTAAAGGTGAGTGAGCGTAGCGAACGAGCTCCAACCCAAAGGTGAGTGAGCGTAGCGAACGAACTTCAACCAGGACGTGATTGAGCGATGCGAACGAGATCATCTTGAAAATTAAACGTAACGGTACTTAAATTATAAATAGTCAAAGGCAAGACAACGTCTGCCGGGTTTTCCATCGGTCTGTCTTAGGGGAAACCTATAACTTAGGCGATACGAAGTTCGCCGGGTCAGCTAGTATATATAAAATGTTAGTCATGACAAGAAACCTTGCACAAAACTATCCATTATTTCATAAATTTCCCTTTAAGGTCGTAATTCCTTTCTAAAGGGAACTTTTCATATACCTAATGTTAAAAATACCTCAGCTGTACTTATTTGTTTGCTATTCTTCCAATTTATTACCTTATTAAAATCAGGTGTGATTTTTTTTTTCTTTTACTGTATTTTGTTTATTTCAGGTTAACTTAACCAATCAATAGTTTTATTAATACTTATGATGTAAAACGGGGTGAAGCCCGTGGGTAACAGCTAGTTTATTTAAAGCAAAATGATCCAGGGACAGCTAGGTCCAGTTTTGAACCATCAAAAAGCTACTAACTTTTTTTATACTCTAACTCCTCAGAATAAGTAGCTTGTTCTTCTTGGCTCTATATCAAGATATCTCCAACCGTCTAGGGGGGCTGAGAAAGCAGATGAAGGTATTTTTTATAATATTAGTTGGAAATTAGCCTTAATTTCAAAACCAAATTTCCCAAGTAGTAATGTTTCAGCGAATTTCCCACATAGGGAATAAGCTATTACCGTAGTACTCATGGTAAGACCTGGACCCGAGACCAATTTATTTTTTTATTTTGAGGTCCCTAGAGGCCAAAAACACCATCCGTTCAAATTCATATATATATTTATATATATATGTGTCCGTTAGCACGATAACTCGAGCAAAAATGATCCGATTTTGATGAAATTTGGTACAAACATGTAAACCTGCATTTATTCAAACGAGTTTGCGAACCAGCATGATCGGACTATGGGAACGGGGGTTTATGGGGGGTTTTATGGGGTAAAAATGGGTTTTCCCATTTTTGACCCTAAAAACACAAAATTTTACAATTTATTTCCAAACCATTTTGTAGAGCTTAAAAAACAAATAATTTAGTATATTGAAGCGTTATTGTGCGCCTAATGGTTACGTAGAAAATTCCAAAAAATTGTAAATTTATAATTCCCATGTTATTCTTATGGAGAATAAGTCACCTGTTGTAGTTTACTTGTTTATGAACATACTAGCTGTAACCCGCGGGCTTTGCCCCGTTTAACTTCTTAATTTTCAAGATTATCTCGTTCGCATGGCTCAATCACGTCCTGGTTGAAGTTTGTTCGCTACGCTCACTCACCTTTAGGTTGGAGCTCGTTTGCTACGCTCACTCACCTTTAGGTTGGAGCTCGTTCGCTACGCTCACTCACCTTTAGGTTGGAGCTCGTTCGCTGCGCTCACTTGCCTTCAGGTTAGCTCGTTCGCTACGCTAACTCGCCTCCAGGTTGAAGTTCGTTCGCTACGCTCACTCACCTTTTGGTTGCAAATTAGCTGTTGTCATAAATGTAAAAGAAATAATAGTGCTGCACCCTGTTGGTGATTTTTGTAACTTTAATGCTATTGAACATCACAGAACAGAACCAACTTGTTTAATTGAAACAGCTGTTAAGATTCAATAATTTCATTTCTCTTAAGGTTAACATGGGAAACTCCAGAGCCACTGGGGCGGAGCCCGAAAGGATTTTTGAAATAAGAATATGCCTATATGTTAATCGGGAATGTGAGCTATCATCATGCCAAATTTCAGCCCAATCCGACCAGTATTTTTCGCGTTCACTTGTCACAAACATACATCCATACATCCATACATCCATACATCCAAACTTTCTCATTTATAATATTAGTAGGATTTTGATCGAATTTGGAAAATACATTAATTTCTTACTAAACTATTAACATAAAAAACCACCTTTTTACCCTCCCTGTTGCAGCAAACCTAAGTACTGGTTAAACTAATTCTATTTAAATAGGAAATAAATATGATATTTTTAAGGAGGCATTTTAATGTGAAATCCTATCAGGCTAATGGGAATTCGCTTAGTCTGCAGGTTTGCTGCGGCGGGGGTATTTTTTTTTTATGAAGAGTAAAGCACATCAACAGTCTGAAATCAGGAGGATTTGGATAAGGAAAACTAAATTCAATAATAATACTGTAATTGGTAATTATTTATCAATTTACAACTTTACAGTTACAAAGGCTTCATGTACAAAATATATTTACAGAGATAAAACAAAAATAAATGTACACGTCACAATACAGTACAATATACACATTATAAGTAGATATATGAAAATGTAATAATTACTATAATTTAACAATGGCAGAGATATAAATAGAAAATATTGCTACTTGATCACCTTATTATGTCTTGAAGATTTATATCACAACCTTTTTCTAAAAACATGACAAAAATGGAACCCACATTTATGAGTAATAATTGTTAAAAAAAAATTAAAACCTTATTGCCTTTGATCTCCAATAGTAAAAAATTACAGAAGTTTTTTCATTCAAAATTCTCGTTTTATCAAACAAGAAATTTATTCAGATGAGAGCACTTTCTTCCACAGAGTGTTTAGTGATTTGTTTGAGGGTACTTTTAAGCATGGTCTACTTAAAAAAATAAATGTGTGAATACAGTTTTTTAATTCAATTTAACCAATGATACTTTGTTTATGCAAAGAAAGGTGTTTCAAACTTTACGTTACTTGTTATAACTTCTTTAAACGGGTTAAATGTTTACTTTATTGCAAATCTATTTAATTAAATTAGTTAATAGTTCTGACTGTACTGCAAGAACTTTTCATAAAAACACAAAAAAGATATGCATTAAAAATGTAAGAAGAAATTTCACTTCAAATATGAGTGCACCAGGTTAACTAATTTGTTCTTATTTTGTGGAAAGTACTTTTATTTATTATTCTCTAAGAATCAGTCAGCATAAATTTTAACTGCATAAAGTTAGGGTAAGTCAAAAAGGGCAAAATAATCAGTCAGATCATTCAAAGCTCAAGGGGTAATAATACTTTGACAAATATAAATTCTAACATATAAATCAAGTTTTAAATAACGATAAAGACAATTCACAACAAAATTAAACAGACTAAATTGCAATACCTTTAAATGAACTTCTCCAAAACGGTTTGTTTGAACAAAATAATCTTGCTGGTTATTTTTTGTTTTAACACAGATTTAGGCTATGGGTACAATAGTAAATATTAACAAAAAAATTAAATAGATAGGTTTGTTTTTCATAAAAGTTATGATAGTTTACATTCACATTTTACAAAACTTAGCACTGTTACAATAGTGATAGTAATGGTTTTACAAATTTAGTTCCGCATAACCATCAGTTTAACTATAATGTATGCTTCTAAATAGCTCTTATGAACACTGTCGTTCTCAGTAGATCTTTGAAACGTTACATTAGAATGTAAAAAAGGACAAAAATATTTGTAATACAATTTCTATAAGTTTAATTGACAATATAATCTGATGGACATGTAAGTAACGTAATATTATATAAACCTTGTGACATATGACTTATTATTATAAATTATTTGAGATGGGGACACCACCTAGGTGCATATTTTAACCCAAATATGAGTGAAGGATGAGTGTAGAATGGTGTGAGATGATCTGTGTAGCTTTGTTACTGACTAAGATTAGCTGTTTCATCAGTCAGTATCATTTATATAAAGCTCAATGATCGGGGACAGCTGGGTTCAGTATCGACCATCAAAAAGCTACTGACTTTTCTCAGGATTGAACCGGCGATCTTTTAAGCGTGACCCTCTTATATTATATTTACATTATAGAAGACTATTGGATTAACATCATCATGATTAAGGTCTGAACCAATTTTACCATCCTACACTTTTTAATCATAGATAAACCAACTGTAAACAAACCGCATAGTTTTACAAGCATATTTAATCATTTTTAATTGTTTTAATTTACTATCAATGTGTTATAAAATTACAGATGACATATGATTTTTATCTCAATAAAACAATCAACAAAAAGCCTAACCTAATCTAGCGATGACTAGTATAGTGATATTTACATTACGATTTGGTGATGTTAAAGCAAGATATAAACTTGTTACCGGTTGTATTGCACAGAGCATCAAAGATGATTGTTTTTATATGTTTCTTTTATTTGGACCAGGGTTGTAATAAGAATCTATGAAGCCATAGTAGTGGCTAGTAGTAGTAGCTCCTAGAGATTTTAGTGATTGTGGTAAAAATTATTTGCAGTCTCTGGTGTTTAGGAGGTTTAGAATTACACGCAGTATTATTTCAACACGATTAACTCGACACTTAGTTTTCTTCAATCCGATTGGCGATTATAGGTAGGAAACTAGCTAATAAATAATTTAATTTTCCAATTTTATGATAATATAATAGGGGTCTGGTGAACCAGACCTTTTCACTTAGATGAGTCGAAAATGTCAACCTTTGAGTCTCGGGCCAAAATCCGATCGCTTAGGAAAGTATTGATTTTTATAAAATATTAATTGCTATACAATAATCTGATTAAAAGCAGCAAATACGAAACTACATTGAAAATTAACAACATTGTCTTCATCATGAGGAAATCATAAGCGTCCCCTGTGGTTGCAGCAAAATAATGGATATCTTCTGCGGTCGTGGAGGAATCATTAACGTCACGTCTCTTACCTTCACGGCAAAATATTGAATATCTTTCACAATCACGGAGGCACCTCTACATTTCCTGCGGTTAGGACACAAAATTCCACATTTACGGGGACATCATCTTTGTCTCCTGCGGTCGCGACTAAATAGTGAACATTTTCACCATTGCAGAGACATCACTATCATCTTCTGTGACAAAAACCAGAACGTCTCTTGTAGTCAAGGAGAAATTGTGTACATCTTTCGCGGTCACGGAGACTTAGAAGAATTTGACAATCACGAAGATACAAACTTGGCTCAAAATGTATTCATCCCTAACAGATTATTTATGAAATTCATTTTCCAAAACAAAAAAAAATCCTTTGAGGCCCCTGGCAACCGCCATGTCTGCCATTAGGGAAATGACACCCTTATTTGGACTGATCAACTGGCTTAACACTACTTAAGAAAAATGTTTTTTATTGTAATAGTATTAAAAAAAATAATGCTACTTTCATTGTGCCATAACTTGTGGATCTACCAAACTTTTAAAAGCATTTGAAGTTTTAAGAGCCACAAGGGTGAAATAGATAAATATTCTTATTATGTTTAAATAGTTTTTAAAATAATGTGTAACAAACAATCAAATTAGTGCTCTGTACATTAACAATTAACAAAAATATGAAACAATATAAACAAAAATACACTGTACAACGTGATGTATTTAATACACAAACTTCTTGTACTCAATAGCTGAAACTGATTTGTACTCTTCAGTTTCTATCGAAAACTATAGGTTTTAATTATGTTTGCAAAACATAATCATTATATACATTTTTAAAAGCAATATAAAAATATCATTATAGAGTTAATAATTATTTGATAATATTTCGTGAGAGTATTATTTTCATGAGCAAGTCGCAGAAACAAAATTCTACACTTCCTGAAGTTCTACACTAACCAATGAATTTATTAAAATAATTTAAACACTTTTAAGTATTTGCCTTGAAGGAGTATCCAGTGGAAAAATTGTATTCCTCAAATTCCTAAAAATTGTAAACTCTTTTTCTTCAATAAAAATTAATAACAACGTTAGTAAACATATTTTGCTTTTGACAACTTTCTCTTGAACTGACACTCAACCCTTTATGGTTTATTATCATTCCTTAACTACTAAATCAGATATTTAAATTAGAATGAACTACCAACAACCCATTCATGAATTACTATTTAATGTGCTCGTTGATTTTGAGAAATAATTCAAACATTGCTATTTAAGATAGGTATTCATTAAAATCCTCTAATGCTGAAATTATGAAAAATATGGTAGGTATTTGTTGTGGGCATGAGTTTCTTTAGGGAGAGGTGGTGTTACTCTTGATTCTAATGCAAAAATGTGCCGGTATAAAGGCTTTATTTATTTTTCCCAAGTTAAAAAAGGTATTTTTTTAAAGGGATATTACAAAGCAGTAATTTTTTAAAAACAAAATAGGACACATATTTATGGGTAGTTTAAAACATTTAAAAAATCTGCATAACGTTTTTGATTTGTAGAGAAAACATTTTTAGAGAGGTTTACAGCCTCTTTCACCTTGCATTTGCCCGTCCACATGGGCCAGAGAGGTCAGATTGTAGAGCATATGCAGAAAAGCAAGGATCGAGCCGATTCAGTACAAGGACGAACTGTACTGATAAAAAGTAGTGGCAGGTACCAGGATCTGAACCCATGACATCACTGCCTTGGGCCTGAAGTCCGTGGAGCTACCGACTGAGCCACCAACTGACCAATTACTACTTTAGGAATGTTAAATAGAATTTTTTTGGGTAGGCCTACTTAAACAAACGTTGAGAAAAATCAGCACTTATGTTTTTTTTTTTTTTACAGAAGTACAGAATAATAAGAATATATGCTAAGAAAACCATTGAACAAATATTTGCTGTAAACAAATTTCAGATTAAAAAATGTCTAACAATGGACACATTGAGGTCCAGTAGAATCAAGCCCTATTACCTATGACATAAGGATATGCATGTATACGATTCTAGTAGCATGACCGAGTGACACACACGCGTGAAGAAACCACATTTTTCCGCTAAAATTTGTTTCCTCCAATACTCAACTGAACCATATATGTTAAAAATACCTTAACTGGAAAACATCCTTCAAGGACAAACCCATATTGAGACTAGAGCAAGAGCAGCTTGGAATCATAACTCAGTTGTGATCTCGTCCTGTGGCCGGAAGCCGAGTTGGAAGAAGTCGTCGTCGTAGCTAGTGATGCTGGTGGGCTCCTCTGAGGCCGTCCACTCGGCCAGGATTGTGTAGTTGCTGGGAGGGAACTCCCACGAGGGGTTGAAGTCAACTCCTGAGTCTATCAGGGAGTTGTGGTGGAATGCGGCAGCAGGAGACCTACGCAGGGTAAACATGTTAAACTCTTGACAATAGAGTCTAGATAGCTTATTTGAGAGTTCAAGTGGTGTAAATTGGTCTAAAGCAGGGATATCTTACTAGTCTGAGAAAACAAATGTGTTAAGCCTTATTTTTTTATCATGAATTCCTTTAAATTATGAACATTGAAATTATTTCCTAATAGATATTCTTGTTTAGTGTATGCGGGTACTTTGTCCAAGATTTTGGCAATACAGTAGAACCCCTCATATCCGACCATAAAGAGAGACCGGGCCATGGTCAGATATTTTGAGGAGCCTAGCTTGTGGTCTCTGCGACACCAGTACATGTCCCGGGCAACACCCATGAGCATATCCTGCGGTTTCGACAACACAGGTAATCGTCTCCTGCAACCACAGCTACACCTTTGACCAGATTTTGCAATCTTGGCAACAACGATAACAATCTCCCGCAACCGCAGCAACGCGCCCGTGAGCAATGAGCATATCTTGCAGTCTCTGCGACACCAGTAATCGATTCACGTGAGAGGGGCAACACCAGTCAGCATCTTAAGCTGTCGGCGAGAGCAATATGATCTTCTGCCGCGATTACGGCACACCTATGATCGGCCTTATAGCTAATCAAACGTGACATTACCGCCCAAGACATGAAACAACTGAAAGCCATTAGGTCAGGATCCCCGAGGATTCTGTTAAGCTGAGGTCGGATATAGGGGGTTCTACTGTTCTGTGGTCGGATATAAGGGGAGTTACTGGTCAATTTTTTTCTGTTGGTTTTTTGTAGGGATGGACGAGATTGGATTTTTAGTTTGAGACGAGACGAGACAAGATTTTTATTTTTCATAAAATTTCGACACGAGATCGAGACGGGATTTCCCTTCTCATACACAACGGGAAATGCACGTTCAAAATTTTTACCTGATTTTGTAACATTGTTAGATGACTGTTTAAATAGGCCTACAAAAATAATGATTGATAATAGGCAAGAATATTTACAATCTTTTATTAAAAAATTTCAGCATAACATTTTTTTATTAATCACGGCTAACGCATTAAAAATGCCTACGATTAGGAAACATAGTGATATCAGTTAGGACAGAGTTCAACTTATCCTAAAATAAAATAAATCATAAAATAAAAGCAATATTAATTTTTATAAAATAGTACTTGTTTTGACTTTTTATAGTAATGAAACATTCCTCACACTGCTTACACTTAACAAAACTTCTCAAATGTTATTAAAGTAATATTATTAAAATAATTAAAGTAATATTTACATTTTAAGAATAATTAAATAAGAACGCCTTCGCAAAGGAAACGCAACTACAACACGCTCCTGTATTGCGGGTATTGCATTGACTTTCTGCAGGCGTTTTAAATTTTTTTTTTTTTTTTATTCTCATCTTGATAAAAATCTCGGCCAAAAAGAAGTCTCGTCTCGTGTAACAAGATTTAAAATTTCCCAAAAATTTCCCGAAATTTCGAGACTTGACCATCCCTAGTTTTTTGTAGAACTATGTCCACTACGACTGGAATGCAGTACAAGTACTGACGTCGAGTCAGGAGATGAGCCCTGCGCCCTGGCCTATTTTGCGTATGAAGGCGCTACTGCGCTAGTAGCCGTCAGATGGCCCTGACGTTAGCGAATACGTTTGTGCGTGCAAGTAACATTTTAATTTAAATATATAAGTGTCAACCTATTGTGTTAATAGTGTACAGGGTGTTAATTATTGATATTTCAGCAATTTCAAATGTGTTTTTTTTTTATTTAAATATGTAAAGTGTATTTTTACATTTACAGAACAATATTATTAATTGGTTAATAGACCTATACATCAAAACAGAAAATTATAATGAATGTTTATGTTACCGGTTTTGGTTTCATATTTATTTGATTTACGTTTTTATTTAAACAATTATTCTAACTACTCATATTCGATAGATTAACACGTTCGCTACTGCAATAGTACGAAATTTTCCATTCGCATGGACCAGCGACGCACATATGCGACGGCAAGTCACATTAAAATAGACTGCCGACGCATATTTGCGTCGGGGTTCTTATGTTATTAAAATGCTTATATCTTTGTAGTGGTCTATTTGAAGGCACTGAATTCCCTGCAGTGGTCTACAGAGATGTCTGACGCACAACTGCGTCGCTTGGTCTGTGGATATGATGATTGGTGACGTCATATAATAGTTCGAAATATTGGTCTTTACTTTTCTGCATCACTGTATGTATGTATGCAGTGTGTATGCTGCATTATCCTATGTAGCTTTTATATTTGTTCAGTTATAAACTGTTCTTGAATAATCTGTTTATTTCTTTACTTACTTTTACCTTAAAACACAAAAAAATAAACTGTCGCATATATGCGACGTTTAGTCTATTTCAAGAAAACTATGATAATTTTCATTAGTGTCTTCGCTGTAGACCGGGCGTCGCAAATATGCGACATTACAAAAGGTTATAAAAAATACAAATAAACAAGAATAATTTATTTACAAACACCATTGTAGCGTATTACAATGTAAATGATCGCTGTTTTACAGGTTTTCGCCCGTGGTCTGTGTGTACTGTTATCCAAGTGACAGTCGGTCTATGTGTAAGATTCAAATGTATACCTCGGTCTGTGGCAATGACCGCGGCGTCGCATATATGCGACGCTCAGTAGCGAACGTGTTAATACCACTATTTTAGTACGGTAGTCTACAAACTAAAACACAATGAAAACTGTAAGTTACACAATTTTTATTTACACGAAAACACACATGAACATGATGTGTATTGTTACGAATTAATTACTTACAATTTACATTAATGGGAGAGGTTGTGCCAAGTCCATGTCCTCGTTGTCTTCAGAACCACTATCGTTGTTACCATCCACAGAGCTGGACGAAGATTCGTCACTTTCCTCCCCAAGATGTATGATCATCTCGTCCACAGCTTCTTCCATCAAGCCATCCTTGGCCCAGTAGTCCTTCTCAATATTGATGACGTGGTGACAAAAGTTTTTCCATGTGACATTACTGACGCTATCCAAAGCTTCGATGGCAAGTTCTTGCAGAGAACTTAATGACATGTTTCCTGATGTATTTCTGGATCTTACATGGTGCTTAACCTTCGACCAGACGAACTCAATAGCATTAAGATCGCACATGTAGGGCGGAAGCCGTACTACTGTGTGTCCAAATTCTGTCAGTAGTTTGTCTATTTTAAATATTTTTTGTGGAGGTTTCAAACGTTGAATAGCTTCTAACAAATCTGCTTTTCTGGTGGACTTCTCATCGTAGTTTTCACCATGCCTTTGGAGCCATTCAAGCATTGTTCTTTTAGTGGACGATTTTGTTGGCACTTTGTCTTCTTGCTCCCCATGATATGGAGCATTGTCAATTACCAGTACGGAATGTTCAGGTAAGTTTGGAATAACTTGATTCCGTATCCATTTATCAAAATTATTGGCGTTCATCTGACCGTGGTAATCACCAGTGGTACTGTTAGCTTTGTAAATCAGTCTTCCTCCAGTTAAAAATCCATCCTCAGAGCCTATATCAACAATAATAAGTCTATTAGATGAATTCATGTCAGACAGCACTCCATCAATCTCATCATTTTGCCAACATTTTTTAAACGTCAAGTTTCCATCCACCCACGTCTCGTCCAGATAAAAGATTTTACGGCCATTCTCCCTGAATTTTTTTATTTCACGTAAATATTTACTTCTCTCTATTTTATTCTCTCTATCAAAACCTTCCTCCTGGACTTGCATTTTTTCCACCTGAACCCCATTTCTTTCAGGACATGGCGTAAAGTCCAATCACTCCATCCAAAATTTATCCTTTCTTTTAAAATTGGCAAAATCTTTTTGCAAGTTGGAACCACTTTTTTCTGGACATAAAACTCTCTGATTACATCCAGAATGACACGTCTATCAAAACCATCAATAGTAGCGTTGCGGTGATCAGGTCTTTTTCTTTTTTTTCCAGGGGTACTCAATTTTGAATCAGGTGTCAGCTTCCCTTCCTTTCTGATTCGTTTCACAGTAGCTTTAGAAACTTTGCAGTAATTTGCAGCCCGCTCCGTAGCCTTTGAAATAGAAAACAACAAAGATTTGTCCTTCGCTTCCTGATCACAACACTGGATAACTCCACGAATCACTTCGCGTTCACTACTGTGCACAGTTGAACCATGACTTCTCGTGTTATGCATTTTTAACTACTCGAAAAATAACCACAGATGTAATAACCACTCCGCACTCATAAATGAAGGTTGGAACTAAACTAACTAAAGATATTAGGGATGGGGGTAAGAGAGGAAGGATGACTCATAGGACGAGTCCAAGTTCAAGGTGAGACAGCGTCGAGTAAAACCACCGTGCAAGTGGTGCATTGCAACTGTACACCACTGACCGTTGTAAAGTAAAAAACAATAGAGAAGTCAATTCACCCGATACATAGTTTTTTTACTGAGTAACGACTTCAAACCTTCTTTCTAAATAACAATTATATGGTACTAGAGCACCCGTGCGGCTCAATGAGCCGCATTGTATGAAACATAACTCATTGAACTTGAGGCATTTTCTGCTCTTCCAACAAAACTGATTAACTGTTTAACTTGGTCTTAACCTACTGAAAATTACAAACATTAATATTTACTCCCCAAAAGCTAATGAGTTTATTTTTATAAACAGCTGATTTTGTTTTTTTAATTTGTTCTGTGTATTTCTTATGGGGAAACCCCGACCTTTGAGAGGGTCTCACGCCCTTAAGAGTAGGAATTTTATAATTTTAAAACCATATTGCAAAAATACATATTGAGACGAATCTTTTGACACCTTAAACGTTGAAATTGGTCCACAAATAAGGGAGGAGTTGCGTTAACAAAAAACTGCTTCACGTATTATTTATACTGTATAGATGTATAGATTTACTCCCCAAAAGCTAATGAGTTTCTTTTTATAAACAGCTGATTTTGTTTTTTAAATTTGTTCTGTGTATTTCTTATGGGGAAAACCCGATCTTTGAGAGGGTCTCACGCCCTTAAGAGTAGGAATTTTATAATTTTAAAACCTTATTGCAAAAATACATATCGAGACGAATCTTTTGACACCTTAAACGTTGAAATTGGTCCACAAATAAGGGAGGAGTTGCGTTAACAAAAAACGGCTTCACGTATTATATATATAGATTCTAATGATATTACAAAATTATATTTATTTATTAACTAACTATACAACAGTTATATTTGAAACTACTCGATTGTAAGATTTATAAAAGAATAATATATGCTAATTTTTTGTGTACTTTATTTAAGATATTAAATTAAAACACTAGCAAATACATTACGCATATTTTCAATTCAATTTAAAGTTTTTAAAAATTTTTTTATAACTTATTTTAAAGAATAACACACACTCCCTTTGATATAATGTGTATGTGAGATTCCAAACACTATCTTTGCCTATCTATAAAATTCCTAAAAGAGAAAATAATAATTTTCTTTAAGATTTATCAAATAAATAGTCCATTATTTTAAATATTAGATTTAAAGTTAATTATTTAACTTCACTATTATTAACAGTTATTTCAGTTGAACAGTTTTAGTAGTTTAGTTGTTCAAAGTATTCAAATTGAAGTAAAAACCAACATGAAGAGAAATATAGTTGTATACAGTCCGATTAAAAACTATAAATACCTAAGAAAATGTAGTTTGGTTTCTGCTTTGATCGGCATCTTTTCATTCCAACCACTGTAAAAAATTTTAAAATCAAACATTGATTTTTATCGGTTGTATGAATAAACGCCTAACTAAACAAGCTAAATTATTGTGTAACGTTTGTTAACGTGAGTGTTGTGTTTGCCGAAAAATTCAGCTCTAAGCTCGGGTATTTTGTTTTTATCAGACAGCAACGCCCGCAACTAAGACGATACTACGCTCTATACAGCCGTGTTACCACGCCTCAGCCAGGGCTCATCTCGTGCCTCACTGTCAGTACCTCTCCTATTGGAAGAAACTCAATTTAAAAATTGTTGCGCACTCATTCATACAGCGCATGGGCTATTTCCGCGCTTGGTTGCAGCTGGCAATCATGCAACCACAGCAAATATGTTAACCGATCATGGAACTGCTAGCAACAATCGCCATTATTCCCGACTAGAGACTGATTGTTCCTACTTGCAAATATTTTTAGTTAATTAAATTGTTTGAAAACATTCAACAATACCTGTCTTCTCTGGTGTCGCTATACTTGTCATCAAAGGCGTTGATGGCAAGCTGCTGCATGGAGGGGGAAGGTTGAGTGGAGGGGGCGGAGCTAGAGTCCGTTGTGGGAGGGAGGGGACGAGACTTGTGAGAAGGAGTAAACGTTGTAAGCGTAGAGGGGTAGGGGGAGGGGGGTGAGGGGTGCGTCTGCACAGGCACTTTGAGAAAGTTAACCAGCTGTGCCACCTGTGGACAAGCAGAACAAACTGTCATTGTGAGAAAAACATGCTGCTATAATTATGATAAACCTTATGTGAATTACTTAACAATAAGGTACATATCCGAAGCTGACACTCATCGCCAAATGACTGAAGGTGATGTCCCTATGCAATGAGTGAGATTAAAGTGAGGAAATGGGTTATGGAGTGTAAAAATGGCTGTAAAATCATTCGTTCTAAGTGATCTTCTTTGAGAAGCCTGGGTACCCACCAAAAACAGAATTACTTCCAAAGTGAGTATTTTCACGGCCATTTTGAAACTCCCTAGCATATTTCTGCACTTTCCACAATATCTTCAGGGCCATAGTATCTGGCCATAAATGTCGGCATCGGGAATGTTTCTTGTAAAAAAAAAAACCCTGATCTTACCTCGGACAAGGTGGGAGATTTGATTGTATAAAAAAAATTAAAAACACACAGTGAAGCATACATGACAGCTACAGAGCTTAAATTTGTGTAATTCTGTTCACAAATAATGCTAGTAAATGGTGATGAGCCTGGTTGTGGCGTAAAAGCGAAGTACAGATTTATACACAAAACCAGCCATTTAAAAAAATACCCCCTATATAATAATATTAATAACCTTTTGATAATGGTTTTGGCTTTTGAATAAGTTTTTAAAATGTCATAATACTTTTGCAAATGCTGTTTTTTAACTGTGTCAGGTATTTAAAAAATAGACTATAACTGCTTTCTAGGATGTTGTTGCAAGAATCCACATAAACATAGGCCTACAACCATGTCTGGAGTTGTATTTAGGAAGTAGAGTCATGTAATTGCAGGATCAAAGGCTTCATGACAATGTAAAATGTTGAATACTACTGATAAAATGTTGGAAGTAAGTGGCAATGTGGGTTTTGTATGTAAATGACAAAAACAATAACTTTTGAGCATCACCAGAAACTTAAAAAAACTAGATCAGATTACTCAACAAAAAACTAACTTAAGCTATTTTTTATGTTCTAACTCTAGCCCCTCTCACCTGGTTAGGGTTGTGTTTCTTGTACCTCCTCAGGACCCTCTCCCCCCACGCCAACAGAGTCTCCCAGTCCGGGGGCGGAGGACCGAGTCTCTCCTCCCGACGGTTCAGAAGGATCAGGATCCTGGACAGGTCCTTGAGGACAGGCCTGCACATACACAAGATTATAACTATGCTCCAGCCGAAAAACTTTTAAGTCACTCAGTAACTGATGAGGCTTGAAGAAGTAGGATACAAAGAACACAAGCTTATGGGGCAACTGTGCGATTTTAGCTCTGATATGTTGGGGCGGAAATGTACTTGTAACGAGCTAGGAAGAGCCCGAACGATGATGGCCACATAGCGTTTATGTACAGCAGTTGTAGCGCAAAGGGTCTTCCTACAGCGAGAGCGCTGTAGTACGTGATAGCGAGTTGGGAAAGGAGAGTGGGAGAGGACGACGAATAGAATTTGCTGTAGACACTAGTGAATGGTGCTAGACACCACTTAAGAGTACCATTGAATGTATCCTCTGTATCTTACTTCTCTGTGGAGGGGGGGTGAGTTAGAGATATGTTTTTGCTTGACTGTCTTTTCAACAACTCAGCTATGGTGGCAAGCTGCCCCATCCAGAATGTGGGGAGCTCTAAAATATTATGGTGTTCTGAAGAAAATAATCAACCTCATCCAGCTGATTTAAGAAGAGTACAAGAGTGTCAAGTAGTGCACGAGGGAAAACTCTCCGAGTCAATTAGAAGACCGTTGTTAGGCAGGGCTTTTTGTTATCTCTAATTATCTTCCTGATGGTCTTGGATGGGGTGATGAGGAAAGCAACAAGAAGACCCAGAAGATTGCAGTGGGAGTGGGACTCACAGATGGACTAGAATACCTTTATTTTGTCTATAAACTGTACTTTATCAGACAGAATACTTTCATGGAAGAAGAGATATGGAAGATAAACTTAAAGACCTTCAGAATGAAGGAAAGAAAGTTGGTTTTAAAATTCGCCTGAGAAACAAAGGAAATGAGAATAAATGAAAAAGGTAACCTCTGTTCCTCTTTTTTATTAACTCCAGGTATTAGAATCCGGTGCCTTAGAAGAATTTTTAATGTCTGATGGTCTGATATGATCACCAACGTAGAGTGATGGAGGAGGGCGCAAATATCTCCCATTACTGATGTTACTAGTGGCTTGTAGGGGCAATAGCCCCTACGGTATATATATATATATTCTAGTAATTATTTTATACAATTTATTAGTCCCATGGGTTACCGGTACCCTACCTTGAATTATCGTTTAACATTTTTGTATATTATAATATCTATAACAGTTATTACAGGTACCTGCATAATGCATTTTGATGTCTGCTCTGTTTAAAATAAAAATTCCAAAGGACTGTTTATGCGTTGTGTTTAATATAAACTTTATAATCATAAAAGGAAAAGTTTCAATAATAATCTTCATGACTATTAATTTAATATATATAAATTTCTTTGAATACAGACAAATTAACTTAAATAAAACATATAGAGATAATATCATCCTCCAAATTGTAAAATCCTAATTCCATAACAAAATCTCTGTGAAAAAAACATTTGTTGTATGGTATCCATTTTGGTCGATTCCTTGATCTTTATTTGGTTCTAGTACTATTTTAACATCACCTGGCCGCTTTACGCGGTTAAAAGCAACATAAGTTGTCCATGGGTAAACTGATGTTTCTCCCAAATAAATGCCAACTTTTGTGAAGGGTTGGCCTTGCGCTTTAATAAGTAGTAGCGAAAGCTAATCACAATGGGAATTGAATCCTTGTAAACTTAAACAGCATATTAGGATCTGTAGATAATAGTTTGATTTTTGGCATGGAAAATATGTTCCCTTTGCCTACTCCAGTAATTACTTCTAACTTTAAACCTTTTTCAGACATACCTAACACAACCAATCGTACTCTATTAACTAATCCAGACCCTTAATATTGGGAAAAAAGTCTATTTCAGCTTACCATATGTTTTAAATAAAGTTAAACCACATGTTTTAAAGTAAACAAAAGCAGAAATGACCTGGATTCCTATGCTATTTCAATGTAAATTATTTTATTCCGTAACAACCTTTTGGTGCATAATTAAGAAAAATGAATAATTATCCCCAAAATTTCATGCCCAGACCTTTAAAATGAGACCTCTCCCAGCTTTATACGGCCTCCCGTTCGCTCACAATTTCATTGTAAAATGTTGGGCTTACGGAATTAGATATATAGATTAAATGAACAAAGTAGGGTGGGTAGGGCACACTCTAAGGAAATCAGACAATAACATTAGCCACCAAGAAGGAAGCAGGAACAGGGACAGACCGAGGATGACTTGGAGGAGATAGGTGGAGAGAGAGAGAGCTGCGAGAAGAAGGCAAGAGTGGAGAAGCAAAGCGCATGGCCCAAAGTCGAGTAAAGAGCTTTAGTTTTGTCCCTACGTCCACCTCAGGAACATAGAAAATAAGTCAAGTCTTTTTAACTTAACTTTTTATGTTTTCTACATTGAGATACCTGCAAGAAGTGTTAGGTATCTACCCTCTTCAATTTGTAAACTATTTGAGTTGACACAGGATATCTCATATCTCTGAGAACACTCTGGATCACCGGGTTTCAGAATTAGTTACTTACTTATACGCCTGGATAGTGGAGTCATTGCGGTTCGGCCTCCGCAGTTCTCGCACTTGTCTCCTTGTCTCATTGAGCATCGCTAGGAACACTGGAGCTTCACTCCGCAGTGACGACAGATGCTTCAGGAACTCTGGCCGCTCACTGTCATCACTGTCTGCACACAGCACAAACAAACGATTGTCAAATGTCAACTTATCTTTATAAACCAACATATGCACTATACATAGCAGAATTAGCTCAAAATATGGTCTTGTTCTAGAAAACAACCTGATCTAGACTAAAAGTAAACCAAACCAAAGAAATTTTAAGTTCTATACAACATAACCTCTAGAAGGAATTGAAATTTAATAGTGATCCTGAGGCAAATATATTGCTAAAATACTATAGGACGACAGTTGTTTTAATGCCTCGGAAGCAAAATAAATAGTCTTTTCGACATGTAATATATGTGTCATCTTTCACAAACTGGAACCTCTTAACTTAAATGCCACATCATTTTACTCTTAAGTAAAGTTATGTCATTAGCCATTACCTTTGACACCTCTCTCCTGCCTTGACATTTCTGTGTAAATACAGAAAACTTTTGTCAAGATATCTGTAGCTCTATTTCTTACAGTACTTGGTTCACACTATCGGAGACTGGAGCTTCGCTCACCTTAAAAAAGATAATTGGCCCATACATAACCTTATACCTCTGTCTCTCCACTCTTTGCTTGGCATAACAAAATTATCTGGATATTTAAAATTTCCTAGATAGACATTTGAGTTTCGGTCCCACATTCACCACTTCTGCTCCAAGGACTTAAGGATTCTCAAAATTATCTCCTGCCCTGCACGACATTGAACATCCATGGTTGCTCCATCCAGTATAAATCCTTTGTGCGCCAACAATTTTTGTCCCCATACGTGAAGGAAGAGCTCTAGGATGATCCAGTGGCTACCTTAGGAGAGTACCTATGGCTATTGGAGTACCTTGAGCCAACTTACCTTGGCTACGTTGTGTTCCTGTCAGATGTCCCAGGCTGGGGCTCTGCCGTGCCTTGTCTCGCAGTGCTCTGTATCTCCTATACTTGACACACAGCCCCGCCGCTGCTACTAGGCCCAGACAGATCACTGCCCCCGCCACACAGCCTACTACCACTGCTAGTGATTGACCTGACAATGCTACTCCACCCAAAAACAGGCTTTCTGAAACAAATATTGAACATTTTGAATATTTTTTTGTACGCTCATCTAAAGATTTGTTTTGAAAAGTGTAGTTCCATTGTCCTTATAAATTTGACTTAATATCATAATACTTTCATGCACTAACTTCTATAAGATGCATTTTGTTTTAATCACTACATTTTTAAGTCCTTCCCATAATTTACATAGACTAATTGATAAATTTCTCAGAATTATTGTACTCAAACAAAGTTTGAGAAAACAAACTATAGTAAGACAGATCTTTTATACAATTCTCCATGAACTCTATATACTAAAATGTCCACACAAAATCCACACAAGTAAAGTTTATAAATGATTCCTCTCACTTCCATTTTAACCAAAACTACCATCAATGTCATGGCATTAGCTTGTGTTATTTCTTGCAGCCAAATTGTGACAAAAGATCTCTTTCTCAATACATTTCTCAGGCCTGCTAACTTCTGTGACACCCTTAGCCACCTTGGCGGGTCACTACCCTAATAAAATGACTTCTTTGCAAATTTAAACATTCATTGTATTCAAAAAGCTGTTTCTGCTAACCAGTTAATTGTTTTCATTTAATTTTTGAAAGGCCATCCCAAAATTGTGTGGTCACACGTGGCAAATACCTCACTAGTACAAAATGACTTTGTCCCATTAGTAGAAGTGCTTCTGTCAGAATTGAAATATCTGTCACTTTGTCAGTACCCTTCGTGATTTAACCTGATTCAAATACAACATCTTCCATTTGTAAACCTTCTTGAGTGTGTGACCTTTGAAAACTACAAAGACAACCTTCACATTGGAATCCTCACATAAAACTATCTCAAACCAGAAATACCTTCAAGGTGGTTGACTATTGGCAACTCATGTGTTAGCGAAAGTCCCATTTCAAAGCTAATTAGCCAGGATAATGCCATCAATAACTAGCAACACTCAGCCAGGAAATCCTACACTTTCACTCTCGAATATAGCCTCAGTAGCCAAGAATGTAACATACATAAATCTAAACTACATATTATAAAATGTCTGTCTGTCTATCTTCGCGGCTCTCAAGATAACATTATTCTGAAAGCTGTGAAATTATAATGATATATATTCATAGACGCCAAACTGTTTACTCCATGAATGAAAGAGCTTAGAGTAAAAGTCGTTCTCTCTGTCTTAAGTAGACAACAAAATTGTTGGTCGCAAAACGTAAACAAATAAAAAGAAGAAGAAGGTAGCTCCTAATGTTATTCTTATGGGACAAATTTAAAAATGTTTTTTAAGTATTTTATAATTACTACTAAACGGAATCGTCTAGAATTTTAATGGTGTCTTAACACTGGTGTCATAACTATTTGTGCAAAATTTGAACGCTATAAGTGCAACGGTTCTTGAGTTTTAGGTGCGAACACACACACACACATACTCCAGCGGACAACTTTTCTCCGACTCCGCTATACACGATACATAGATTCGTTCACTTCGTTCACTCATCTATTAAAAAGTGAATAGGTTTACCAACGGTGCAGCACTATTATTTTTTTTAATTTATGACAACAGCTAATTTGCAACCAAAAGGTGAGTGAGCGTAGCGAACGAACTTTATCCTGGAGGCAAGTTAGCGTAGCGAACGAGCTAACCTGAAGGCAAGTGAGCGCAGCGAACGAGCTCCAACCCAAAGGTAAGTGAGCGTAGCGAAGGAACTTCAACCAGGACGTGATTGAGCCATGCGAATGAGCTAATCTTGAAAATGAACGAGCATTTGACATAGGACAGGACGACGTCTGTCGGGCCAGCTAGTAATATAATTTTTACACAACTCTATGTAGTAGGTTTATTTATTATAAAATTTTGTCATTGATTATTTATTCTAAACCCATATCGTTGATTATGGAAATAAAAAAGGTTCTATAAACCTTGCTGTATCAACGCAGAGATAGTATTAACTAGGTTATCAAAATATGTTTTAATATAAAGGGGACCCGTTCATCAAAACTGAATTTTCTTATAGCAGCTAGTATTAAATTATTAAATACATTTGTAGAATATAAGTAAAATCAAAGATTTCCTAATTAAAGGTCGATATGCAAAATATGATGAGCTAAGCAATGATCAAATAATACCTAATGATAGGTTATGTCATCTTGACAAAAATATTTTACTTTGGGTTCCTGTAGTCAAACTCTTCAACATGGAAGTACTGTGGTACTGTGAATATATCAGAGTATGGATGCATAGGAAAAATGTTAGAAAAAGTGATGAAGTAGGAAACTTATCTCCACTACTTCCCTACACCGTTCCGTTATCATAGACTGCAACACAAGGGAGTATGTTTTATCTATGGTAATACTTTTTGGAATTGTCCTTAGTGGCAACCTAAACACGGAAAACTCCAACATGACGTCATTAAGCCTTAATACAATGGTAATGGTTTCACCATCTGGAACGGACTCCAATGTTTAGCCTCATAATCCTGCTGGTTGAATATTCATAGTCGGTGTTTTCTATTCCACGTTCCGACTGGTTTCGAAATGAAAACAATCGAGTGCGCTGGCCCCCGGCACGACTCTCATGTCGGACAACGGCAGCGCGGCAACGTGCAGTGCGGGGGCGGGGGGCGTCGGCCGCGGTCACTCCGAGAGGAAGGAGTGAGTTGACACTTGGCAGGAGACTGTGAAGTGAACCGAGTAAGTGACGAAAGAATATAAAGTGAACAGAGTAACAGGACAACATTAATTAATTGAGACCAGTATCATTAATGTATAACATGTGCCGAGCTATTAATCTGACAATGTCTGTTAAAGAAAAATGTAGTTTATTATACATAAAAAGGGTAGAAGACGAAAATAGGGGTAAAACCGAAAAAGGAGTTTTTGAGTAATGCCACCATTAATCAATTCCGTAGCTTAGGGAAGACGGTAGGTTCTTTGAATACACGAAGATGTCACTTTTGACTACATTTTGAGCAGATTGAGATGGAGTATTTAGCTGAAGGGCAGGTCTACAACAGCACTGCGTGGTTTCCAACTGGTTTCGACTGAACTGAAGCATGACTCTTCTGAGCGGCGAGCGGTGTTTTTGCGAATGTCGGTCTAGAATTGGAATCATGAGCGGCGTCGCTTAACGTCACTCACCCCTCAGAAGTATCGTGGTCACCCTCAGCAAATTTACACGCACTGAGACCCGATGTCAGAGCGGCGCCGATCACGCTACCCGCCGCTCACCACTCGTATCGTACCCGAGGCCTATTGAGCTAAGTAACAGGAGAATTCAAAGCGACCAGATTAACAGTTAAGTTATGAAGTGAGCTGATTACAAGACGCAAGTGAAAGCTGAATATCCAGTAGTTTTCACTAGCCATTTGTGTATCACTACGTAGTGCCAGATCTTTCTTCGATGTATACACCTTAATACATATAAACTCTTTCAAAGACTCTCGCCACTCTACGTAACATCAAAAACAAAAAAGACAGAACCTTTTGAGTAGACCTCGCCTGGAGTCAAGCGCGGGTGTGTCTAACTAATGAATAGTGGGAGTACCTCAGGGTTCAATCTTGGGGCCTCTATTGTTTCATTGTGCTCGCTCGTCAGTGGTAGACATGTACAACCGTAGAGGTATTTTAACTTACGTTTCTTAATACTGTACCCCTACAAAACGAACATGATTGAGGATGATACACATCCAAGAGGAGGTAGTGAGAAAAAAAGCTTAAAGCGGTCGTAAACGTGTTGACGCCACTGACGCGTTTCGTTCCGGTCCTCTTCAGAGTCATATCCGAGGCCGTAACCCTAGGTTTATGGACCAGTTCGCTCGTATTTGTTGTAACGGCTAGTTGTGTAACCAGTAATCGGTGACATAACTAAATGTAATGTTCCACAGCTGTATATTTTACTGGTATATACTCGCCTCTATTGTTTAGCGGCCAGCTGACTGTTATAGCCTATTAATCTTGTGCAGTATTGCAGTGAACTCGACATTGAGATAGCTGGTATAGAACTGATGGACAAATCCCTCATCGTCCTCAGCATATATCGCTCGCCTGATGGGCAGGTTCTGAAGTTCTTCGATCTGCTCGACCAGTGTCTAGGCTATCTTGCTGGTTTCAAGAAAAACATTATTTTGGGCGGAGACTTCAACATAACCCTCAATGCCAACGATGTAATGGCCAATGACTTCGTAGATCTTCTACGCTCTCATGGACTGTTCATCACTAGTCTTCTGCCTACGCGTGGACCTCGCTGCCTTGATACAGTGGCCACAGATCTTAACATATGGGAATATCAGGTTTGGACAACCGAACCGTATGTGGCGGACCATCAAGCGGTTCTCATGGTAGTCAACTCCAGTATGGTGAGTCCTTCTTTAACAGTTCCTGCATGGTTAAATCTCTATACTAGACATTATAGGTTATTAGATGAAGATCTTATTCCTAGTTTTAAACATGCTCTTTCACAGGTCCCCTGGGATGATGTCTTATTTGGCAAGCAAGCCGAATCGGCTTTTGAGGCATTTTTTGATGCATACAATTCAGTTTTTAATACTTTTTCCCCTTAAAAGTCAGCAAAAAAGTAAACCCTCAAACCAAAAAAACCCCACTCTGGCCTAGGGACAAATCTTGGTTTACTGCAGAGCTGAAGCAGATACAAATGTTTGTTCTAGCATTCAGGGATAGGTACATGACAGCGGAGACCCCCGCCAATAGGGAGCATTTCTTTAATCTTTACACCAGAGCCAAAAGGTTGTATAGAATTAAAATAGACCAGGCAAAGAAAGCTTCTAATGTGAGGCTCATTGAAAGCTCGCTAAATCCTTGTAAGGCGGTTTGGAACTTGGTCAACAACAACCGTAATACCGGTCAAGGGCCGTCACCTGCCTCTAAATGTTCTGCTAGCCCCGATGACTTTAACACCCATCTCATCAGTACTGTAGCAGGCATTGTAGGCACCGCTCCTGTAGATAATAATGAAGTAGTCAAAGGCATACAGTCTCCTGATGCCAACCTTTCATCCTGGCA